CCCATAGATGGTGTGGTGAGGCTTCAGTTTCGTGGACACCTTTGGGAACATTCATGGAGGGAGAAAAAATTTGATGAGAGGACTAAGTTAAAAGGTGCTAGTGAGAGACGTCTCATGACTCAGACATTAATGAGGCGTCCTAATTAACCTTGAATATGTTGTGTGAATGTTCNCATCTTTACACTACTGGTGGCAACTACCTGGCCCATAGATGGTGTGGTGAGGCTTCAGTTTCGTGGACACCTTTGGGAACATTCATGGAGGGAGAAAAAATTTGATGAGAGGACTAAGTTAAAAGGTGCTAGTGAGAGACGTCTCATGACTCAGACATTAATGAGGCGTCCTAATTAACCTTGAATATGTTATGTGTGAATGTGCNATTAGTCAATTCATGCATGTCATGTCACCTTCATATTGTTATTTTTGGATCATATCATTCTAATTCATAATATGGTTGTGTCAATGGATAATATTGACACTGTCGTTCAAGAATATAAAAAAAAATAGGGCATTAGAGTGTGGTCCAATACAATAAACTTTCGATGGTAAGGGTGGTGATAAATTTGAAGTGAGAGGTNTGCTGGTTAATGACTGCAGACAATGTGCTGGTTAATGACTGCAGACTACTCCGAGGTAGAGTATGTAGGTTGTGATTTTGTAAACCACACACTTAGAAAAGGACATGTAACATGACAGTTTCAATCAGTCCTATTGGTGGTGGTTGGGTGTGTATGGACATTNAGCCAAGAAGCATGATCCCATAGTGATTTAAGTTTGAAGCCAACTAAGCACCTCTTTGAATGTACACAATGTAACAATACTCAAAATAGTTTGTTGAAACATTTGGAACTTAGNCAAGAAGCATGATCCCATAGTGATTTAAGTTTGAAGCCAACTAAGCACCTCTTCGAATGTACNTAGTCTTCAAAGCCAAGAAGCATGATCCCATAGTGATTTAAGTTTGAAGCCAACTAAGCACCTCTTTGAATGTACACAATGTAACAATACTCAAAATAGTTTGTTGAAACATTTGGAACTTAGATTTTCAAAATTTTACCATTTTCAGATTACAAGGAATTATAGAATTGTTTATTCATTTTTTTTCAAGCTTTATCATGCTTTCATCAATTGGAGCAAGCATGTATATGAATGGAACCATGTGCACAAGTTTCCTGCTACTTTCCATGTCCTCTTTGAACAAGGGCGACCCAACCTAATTAGAGGTCTTAGGCAAAAGTTTAAAATGTGGCCCTAGTAATGTTTAGTGTAGTAGTATATATAATATTATATAGTTATTATATAACTATATAATATTNTTTCAAGCTTTATCATGCTTTCATCAATTGGAGCAAGCATGTATATGAATGGAACCATGTGCACAAGTTTCCTGCTACTTTCCATGTCCTCTTTGAACAAGGGCGACCCAACCTAATTAGAGGTCTTAGGCAAAAGTTTAAAATGTGGCCCTAGTAATGTTTAGTGTAGTAGTATATATAATATTTTCAAATTATTTTTTTCTTATATTTTTCAAATTCATGGTATCAAACAGGTATACTTAAGATTAAAAAAAATAATTTGTCGATTAAAAATATTTTATAACAATTGATTTGCTGAGATCAAATTAAATTGAAACATAAAGTTTATAAATAATGTAAATGTGACAGTATCATAATTGATTTTGATTGTATTTTGGTGGGAATCTAACACTATCATAGTATATAAACAATGCAAACATAAGCTTATATCCTCTTTTGATCTTTTGTTTAAGAAAACTAAGTCTAAAAATTGAAACAATGGTAAGACCCAGAACCCTAGCTTGATCATTATACATACTTACCCTANAAGTTTATAAATAATGTAAATGTGACAGTATCATAATTGATTTTGATTGTATTTTGATGGGAATCTAACACTATCATAGTATATAAACAATGCAAACATAAGCTTATATCCTCTTTTGATCTTTTGTTTAAGAAAATTAAGTCTAAAAATTGAAACAATGGTAAGACCCAGAACCCTAGCTTGATCATTATACATACTTACCCGATCTATATATGTTGTTGCTAATTTGTTGGTGAATTTGTGTTTGATTTGTTACTAATCGATCAATCTCTCTCTGTGTTCGGTCTCTCTAGATCTATATATAATACATATCTTTGTGTGTGTGTGTGTATATATATATATATATAGATCAATGGCCTTCATCAAAAATAAAATCCATATAAATAGATCANCCCAGAACCCTAGCTTGATCATTATACATACTTACCCGATCTATATATGTTGTTGCTAATTTGTTGGTGAATTTGTGTTTGATTTGTTACTAATCGATCAATCTCTCTCTGTGTTCGGTCTCTCTAGATCTATATATAATACATATCTGTGTGTGTGTGTGTGTGTGTGTATATATATATATATAGATCAATGGCCTTCATCAAAAATAAAATCCATATAAAAAAATAGATAAATGACCTTCATCAGAAATAAAACCAAACAAATTCAATAGAAAAGATATACGAAACACCAATTATTTTTTTTCAAAAAAAAATAACGCAATCAATCCCTTGAACAAGATCTGGAGGAGTTGTTCTTGCCAATCAAAGTCAGTTGTTCTCGCCGATTAAATCAGATCAGATTAGATCTAAAGTCCCTTGAACTAGATTAAATCTGAAGCCCCTTGAGCTAGATTAAATTTAAACCTAAAAATCAAATATAAAAAACTGATATGAAGATGGTTGATCTCACGAATTGAAGACTGGCTGATCTTGTCAATTGAACCAGATCTAAAGCCCTTGTGTNATTCAATAGAAAAGATATACGAAACACCAATTATTTTTTTTCAAAAAAAAATAACGCAATCAATCCCTTGAACAAGATCTGGAGGAGTTGTTCTTGCCAATCAAAGTCAGTTGTTCTCGCCGATTAAATCAGATCAGATTAGATCTAAAGTCCCTTGAACTAGATTAGATCTGAAGCCCCTTGAGCTAGATTAAATTTAAACCTAAAAATCAAAAAAAAAAAAAAAAAACTGATATGAAGATGGTTGATCTCACGAATTGAAAACTGGTTGATCTTGTCAATTGAACCAGATCTAAAGCCCTTGTGTGTGTGTGTGTGTGTGTGTGTGTTTATGTGTTCGTTCTGTTTGAGAGCGAAAGTGGAGAGAAAGAAAGTCAAGGAGAAAGAAAAACAAAAAAAAAAATCTTTTATATTAGAACAAATTTTGCTACTAAGGAGGTTCAAAAGAGCAAACCTCATTAATAGGTGTGTTGTTTTCCGTGTTTTCCATTTTCCCATATTTTGTCTCCACAACACCCCAAAACAAGCCCAATTTGTTTTCTAAAATTTGATCTCAATTCTCACTTTTTTTGAAAATTTAGAGAATGAAAATTCTGATCAAACAAGTTTTGAGAATAAAAAATAGTTTTAGAAACAATATCCAAATAGGCCCGATGTTTTTTGTTTTTTTTTCATTTTATGGCAAAAAAAAAAACAAAAAAACGTTAGGTCANAACAAGCCCAATTTGTTTTCTAAAATTTGATCTCAATTCTCACTTTTTTTGAAAATTTAGAGAATGAAAATTCTGATCAAACAAGTTTTTAGAATAAAAAATAGTTTTAGAAACAATATCAAAATAGGCCCGATGTTTTTTGTTTTTTTTTTCATTTTATGGCAAAAAAAAAACAAAAAAACGTTAGGTCATTGGTGAATATTTTTTTTTTGTTANTAAAAAATAGTTTTAGAAACAATATCCAAATAGGCCCGATGTTTTTTGTTTTTTTTTCATTTTATGGCAAAAAAAAAAACAAAAAAACGTTAGGTCACTGCTCCGTTTTGAGAGAAGGCCAAAATATAAAAACATCTAAAAGGATGTTTTTGAAAACATCAATAAAAATAACTTATTGTTAACACCAAAATTTAGTGAGGTTTTACCTTCGAATCTTGTTAACACCAAAATTTAAGACTTTTAGTTGGAAGTATAAAAGGTCATTTCTCTCTTCTCCTACCTACTGTTCACCCAACTTTTCTCTCTCTCATCTTCTCTCTTTCGTCTGTGTCTCTACAAAGACTTCAAATTTGCCTCTCGTCCTCTCTGCGAAGACTCTGAAGCTAAACTTTTGTTGGGTTTTGGTGGTGGTGGTGGATGATGTTTCGATGGCTAGTGGTGGTGGGTTTTGGTGACAGGTGATGTATCGGTGAAATTTTGGTGGTGGTTGCGTGGCTAGTGATGGTGGGTTTTACTTGATTAAATGCTAGGTGGTGGTGGGTGGTTGTGAGTTTTGATGGCAAGTGATGTATCGATATAGTTTTGGTGGTGATTGGTGGTGATAGGTTTTGCTTGGTTTGGTGTTGGACGACTAGGTGGTGGTGGGTTTTGGTGGCAGGTGAAATATCGATATAGTTTTGGTGGTAGTTATGCCGTTGGTGGTGGTGGGTTTTACNATAGGTTTTGCTTGGTTTGGTGTTGGACGACTAGGTGGTGGTGGGTTTTGGTGGCAGGTGAAATATCGATATAGTTTTGGTGGTAGTTATGCCGTTGATGGTGGTGGGTTTTACTTGGTTTGGTGTTGAGTTACTAGGTGGTGGTGGGTCTTGGTAGCGAGTGATGTATCAGTGAGGTTTTGGTGGTTATTGGCTGGCTACTAGTGATGGGTTTTGCTTGGTTTGGTGCCGGTTGGCTAGGTGATGGTGGATTTTGGTGGCAGGTAACATTTTGGTGGAGTTTTGGCGGTGGTTGGGTGGCTAGTGGTGATTGGCTGGGTGGTTGTGGGTTTTGGGTGTGGGTGGGTGGTGGGTGGTTGGTGGTGGTGGGTTTAGTGGTGTTGGGGGATAGATTTTCAGTATAATACCAAATATGCTTTTTATTTTTGTTTTTATAATTTTTTAAACGTAAATGACTACTAAACATATTTTTTATTTTTTATCACAGAAAAATAAAAATTAATTTTGTTTTTTTGATAAAAAAAAACATAAAAACAAAAACGTTACCAAACACACTGTAAATAACATGTTTTTGTTTGTAAATAAAGCCATGACAACAATTAAACAGAAATAGAACATTCTAAATCAATAACCTGGTAATAGTTTGGAAAATCCAAGAACATAATTTGATGATTCCCATAACACATGCCAGGGAACTTCAAATGATCTTGAACCCATAATCAATCGAAGCAAATTTGAGAATTCTGAGTACCAAAATGTATACTCCTCAAAACAGCCTCAGATACGCAGTTGTTCATTAAATTTTGGTGATTAGAAAAAAAAACCACCTCAGGTCCTCTGCCTAATCAGTCTCGCTCACTGATGGCAGTCAAGTGCTCATCAATTTCCTCGGTGGACAATCCTCTGAAGACTGGATTCTCTTTGCTCACAACCCCCACCTGCCAAAGATGGATTGCAGTGGTGTCAGGCAACCATACAAAATAAATTGAACAGATATCATTCCAGAACCACAACCTCCAAAGTGTGGGCTGAATAAGTGACATACACAAAAAAATAAAAATAAAAGCATATTCCAAAATTCTCCTAGACAATAAGATGATAAAGAGAAAGTAGAATAATTCTGCCAATACACAGTTGGATGACCAACACGCCAAAGCTTCTCATCCAAGAAGAATTGATTACCTCAATCTCATTAGCCTTGAAATCCTCCTGCAGAACAGATTGCAGCGCTGAAATTGCCGTCTACACAAAAACAGCATTGTTGCAGCATCAGAATTTCATAACCTTCATATAATTCTGATACTAACTTGATGAAATTCATGCAATAACCAGATTACAGTTTTTATAGAACAGGAACCACCAGTGTTGTAACGTATAAAATGATGATCGGTGGAGATAAAGTTCAAAGTGTGAACGAGTTATGTGAAGTTCATTTTAGAATCTTTCACTGCCTGGCAGAGTACAGAAAATCTAATATTGGATTCATATCCCACATCTTGTCTTGCCAGTTAAAGGTGCATTTTCTGTTTCTACATTAATGGTGTATAAAACAAGCACTGTACATGTAAGCTTTTGGTCCTACAGGTTCCTAAAAAAGAGCTGCTTTATACATGACAATGAAGCATTCCAGCATTTTAATTTAAACAGGGCAATGATAAATGCTCAGCTGCTTTGTGGATGTTAGACATACTGACATTGGTAGTTAGGGCACCACAGGTATTACACATTCCTATTCTGAAAAAACAACATAGCATCATCTGGATCTTGGCACAGACGACCAAGACATGCACTAAACAAGAAAGAGGAAGATGGGGAAGAGGAAGGGGAGGAGGATGAACTCTTGGGCTTATTGCCTTCCCTCTTACCTGCACTGTTTCCTCGAAAGAGAAAGCAGGGTCGTTTTTCATTTTCTTCTCCAAAAAATTAATTGCCTCTTGATCTTTTGATCCCGCACTTGTGGCCTGTGACAAGTTGGAATTAGATCAAACAAGTTCCTGAAAGAAAAAAACATACCTAGAAGTATTCCAGGTAGAGAAATCATTCATTGCAACATTAAAGTACCTAAATTTCATCCCAAAAAAACCATAAAAAACCAAACATTGAAAACCAGCAATAACGTAAACATTCAAAACCTTAATTGTTTATGAAAGCACCAAATATCATTTAGAGTATAATTGATGCCAATCTCACCAAATTAGATTAAAGAAAATACGAAAAGTATGCAACTGGGGTAGGCTACGTTCATGTTTAAGTAAAGCAAGGGATGCAAATTGCTGTCTTTCAACAAAAAACCAAAACCTATTAATCTTCGGTACATATTGCCAAGGGTGTTAGTAAACACTCCCTTTTTCCTCTTATGTAACACATTTTATAGATGTACTTTAACCTGTTTCCCCAAACTGTTCCCCCAGCAAATGGTGCTTTCCAGGGCCCCACCGCCCCCCTCTCCCGCCCAGAATAGTCATTCCTTCCTCCAATTCCTCTCTCTCTCTCTCTCTCTCTCTCTCTCTCTCTCTCTCTCTCTCTCTCTTATTTGGACTTCATTTTTTTGCCACAATAGTTAGAGAAATCATGGTCAAGTTTTTTTTTGCTTCTCAAAGCACCCCTATGGATCCCCGGAAAAAGTTCCATTATGCAGACATGGCTGCAGAAAATCAAAAGAGAAGAGATTGGCATAAAAAGGAAAAAAAAGGCAGAAAACGGGTGTAGGAGAGGGACGGTCGGATTACCGAAGCAAGAGAGACATTCGGAAGAGAGGAAAAGAATATTTCAGTTTTGTCCTTGAGTTCNATCCCCGGAAAAAGTTCCATTATGCAGACATGGCTGCAGAAAATCAAAAGAGAAGACATTGGCATAAAAAGGAAAAAAAAGGCAGAAAACGGGGGTAGGAGAGGGACGGTCGGATTACCGAAGCAAGAGAGACATTCGGAAGAGAGGAAAAGAATATTTCAGTTTTGTCCTTGAGTCCAAGATTTCGAATCTTAAGGAACGGGCAGTTCAGTCAGAACTTTTGTCAACCACTCGATCCAATAATAATTATTTCTACTGCTCCCACCTTAACCTAAAAAATGTTTTTTATGCAACTATCAACTTCACATCAGAACTGCATTTTACCTGATCATAANTTTGTCAACCACTCGATCCAATAATAATTATTTCTACTGCTCCCACCTTAACCTAACAAATGTTTTTCATGCAACTATCAACTTCACATCAGAACTGCATTTTACCTGATCATAAGCATTTCTAATACCAGTGCAGCCTGCATTACAATCTAAGGACATGAAGAAGACAATGCTTCATATATGGTGGCGCAAAATGGTGTTGTATCACAAGAAAAATACCACGCACTGCAAGCATAAAACATTCGTACCAAACAACTTAAATCAGTTTCTGTGTAGAAAAAAAAAAAAAGAATACCTTGTGGCCAAAAAAATGGCCAGCTGGATCACACTTGAATAGTTGAGGTCCTTTCTCATCATCAATACCCAAAACCATAGCAACTTCACATTGAAAACAAGAAAAGAAAATAATGGATGGCAACATTCCCAAAGAACCACGAAAATTAATGGATCAAAAATGAATAATTATTTACACACTATCCAATTAATGATATTCCTCAATATGACAAAGATCTTCCGCAAGATAAACGATCAGGTACAAACCTACTCCTAAGGGTCTCATGTAGGCATGTTGAGTATAAACCTGAGACTTGTCTGCGATCCTGAAATCACAAAAAATTTATGTATCAACTAATTAGGAATTTGTCGTCAAGTATGCTAAATGAAGTATTTGTCTCCATGAGAGATCATGTCAAAGCCCAAACAACATTCCAAATCACTCCAAGGAGCTATAAAGTTTGGCCTTAACTATCAATCTTAAACTTGCTTCTCCATGAGGACAAAAATGAATGCAATGGATCCCTAGGACAACCCAAAAATAAGGGAAATGCTCGAACAATAAGCAGCAACTATTATATGAATGAAACAATATTAGCATACCATCTGGCCAATACTTCCACAGGCATTTCATATCCATATTTGAAACGAAACTCAGCAGCCTCATTCCTGGCTTGTTGGACCAAGGTCCTTGCATCAGCTGAAAATGAGAAGGAAAACATTATCAAAAAATTACCGAAAACGCTAAATAGGAATACCAAATTCTTTGCTCATATCCAAGACGNTAGAGGGAGGATTTAGATTTTGAATTAACAATTTTTAAATTCTAAAAAACTAGGAAATGTGGTGGGAAGGCTTTGTTTTATATATTTGGTTTTAGAGAGTGTAAAATATTATTATATTCTAATATATTTTGACACAATAATTACATAATACGGTTTTGTGTGTTAAATTGTATATCTTAGTGATGTATTTTAATCATAATTTGAATTAAAAAAAAATTATTGTGCTATTTGATTTTTTAGAAAAAAAATAATTATATTGAAATTCTATTTTTGTCCTTAAATTATACAAACTCCTTTTCTTTTTTTGAATTGCATAACGAAATTATAAAATGACTGCTCTTACCTTTAATGGTACATTTTAATTAAAACAAATAAAACTTATCCAGCCCAAACTCGAAGCACTAAACAAAAGCTACACTCGAATCCGAACCAAAACACCAAAAAAAGACATTAAACTCTTTTTACTATCACCCTACTTCTTTCATTTTCTTGTGTAAAAAGTGTATATAGTACATTAGACTCTTGTCATTACGAATCTGAAAAGTTAAATATATTCAATTTTATCCTTCCAAACAAAGAGGTTTTTATGATTCAAAGTTGTGACCTCCAAATCACAATGGAACAACCCTACAACTACGAGATGTTTCTCACTCCCTTGTATCTCTATACAAAATACGAAGGCACCACAAACACACTTCTACCTCTCTCTAAATCCAACCACACACACAATCTCTCTCTCTCTCTCTATTTCAATCCAACAGCACAGACACACTCGTGGATGCTCTCTTTAAGTTTATCTGAAACAAACATGCCAAACCCAATGTAACAATAATACCGTGTCATAATTTCGCATTTGTATATAAAGATTTGTTACAATAGAGACCCCTGTAATGTTTTGGGGGTTGGTGGTGGCTTTGGAGGTTGTGTTTGAAGGAAATACAAAAAATTACTGGATTTTTGTGAAGGTTTGCCTGGTATGGTGATGGGTTGGGAAATTCTAAACAAAATCCTCTTTTGTACAACAGANAGATCTTCCGCAAGATAAACGATCAGGTACAAACCTACTCCTAAGGGTCTCATGTAGGCATGTTGAGTATAAACCTGAGACTTGTCTGCGATCCTGAAATCACAAAAAATTTATGTATCAACTAATTAGGAATTTGTCGTCAAGTATGCTAAATGAAGTATTTGTCTCCATGAGAGATCATGTCAAAGCCCAAACAACATTCCAAATCACTCCAAGGAGCTATAAAGTTTGGCCTTAACTATCAATCTTAAACTTGCTTCTCCATGAGGACAAAAATGAATGCAATGGATCCCTAGGACAACCCAAAAATAAGGGAAATGCTCGAACAATAAGCAGCAACTATTATATGAATGAAACAATATTAGCATACCATCTGGCCAATACTTCCACAGGCATTTCATATCCATATTTGAAACGAAACTCAGCAGCCTCATTCCTGGCTTGTTGGACCAAGGTCCTTGCATCAGCTGAAAATGAGAAGGAAAACATTATCAAAAAATTACCGAAAACGCTAAATAGGAATACCAAATTCTTTGCTCATATCCAAGACGGTCAACCAAAACAAGCTTCTAAGTTGATTTCCATGTACATTTTCAACTACGTTCAAACAAGGTTGGTTGAAGACAATAATATGTCCCCAAAATGTTTGATTGCAGCTCCAAGTAAAGCAATATTCGGAGCAACAGAATGAATAAATAGCTTATACAATTATGTGGCAGTAAAGCTTCAAATTTCTATGTATTAAAGATTCTCCTCATAAAAGAAATCTCAGTTTAACCGTCACATGAGATTTTGTAGCTAATTTCAAGCTACAAGCAATCTAATCTAATCCAAGGGCTTCCAGGGCTGCACAATTGTGCGACAGCATCCTCATTCCAGATAACAAGTATAGTTCATTCCATTTTAAAATAAGTACCTAGAATGATCTTTTTTCTTATATCCTGGTTCGCCCATCCAATCACAGAAATTTAATCAAATTGCATATATTTCACAAAGAAAATTACTAGTTCAAAACTATAAAAGTTCCGGTAATTTCTTCAACTTAGTGAATTCCAAGATTCAAAGTTGATTTTAGTGAGAGAGCTCAAGGAGACACACCTGTCGTGCCAGTAGCCAACAGTCCAAGGTACTTGGTAATAGAAAACAAATGGGTCACACTAGTCTGATCCAAAAGCTTGTCCTGCACATTAGATTTACATATGACAATTTCTCAAAAACCCAAGATCAAAATACAAAAACCCACAACTTCGACCGCTAAAAAGAAGGGAAAAATAAGCTAATTGTACGAACCGGAACTTTCTTCTGTGTAACAACACAAACCGAGTCCTTCCCACGCACACCAATCGAGGTTATTCCAGCTGCCTTCACAGCCTTGAACGCATACTCTGTTCAAAATCAAATCCCAAAATTTTAGAAACACAGGAAAAAAAAAAACCCTAATTCAGTGGGAGTTGAACATGAGATGGGGCATGGAGATAAAGTGTATATTAAGGTATGCTTACCGACTTGAAAAAGACGACCTTCCGGAGAGAAAATGGTTATGTGACGATCGTAGCCACCTCCACTACCACGACTCATTTCGATTTTTTCAGTGTTTTTACGTTGATTTGATTTGAAATAGAGTTTGGAAATCGAAGAAGAAGAAGAAATAGAAGCTTTCTCTCCAAGNTTAATCAAATTGCATATATTTCACAAAGAAAATTACTAGTTCAAAACTATAAAAGTTCCGGTAATTTCTTCAACTTAGTGAATTCCAAGATTCAAAGTTGATTTTAGTGAGAAAGCTCAAGGAGACACACCTGTCGTGCCAGTAGCCAACAGTCCAAGGTACTTGGTAATAGAAAACAAATGGGTCACACTAGTCTGATCCAAAAGCTTGTCCTGCACATTAGATTTACATATGACAATTTCTCAAAAACCCAAGATCAAAATACAAAAACCCACAACTTCGACCGCTAAAAAGAAGGGAAAAATAAGCTAATTGTACGAACCGGAACTTTCTTCTGTGTAACAACACAAACCGAGTCCTTCCCACGCACACCAATCGAGGTTATTCCAGCTGCCTTCACAGCCTTGAACGCATACTCTGTTCAAAATCAAATCCCAAAATTTTAGAAACACAGGAAAAAAAAAAACCCTAATTCAGTGGGAGTTGAACATGAGATGGGGCATGGAGATAAAGTGTATATTAAGGTATGCTTACCGACTTGAAAAAGACGACCTTCCGGAGAGAAAATGGTTATGTGACGATCGTAGCCACCTCCACTACCACGACTCATTTCGATTTTTTCAGTGTTTTTACGTTGATTTGATTTGAAATAGAGTTTGGAAATCGAAGAAGAAGAAGAAATAGAAGCTTTCTCTCCAAGACAGAGACGGTGACGAAGAAATCATGAAACATAGGTTTCCTAATATACTTGTGGGGAAAAAAAAAATGTTTGTTTTTGTGTAATTACACAAGGCCCCCCTCTTGTATTCATATTTAGTGGTTGCCATCCCTCAACTATAATTTGTGAAGCCTTGACTAAGTCTAATTTGTGTGCTAAATAGAATGTGGCATATATATATATATACTAGTTATAACCTGTGCATAANGTCTGATCCAAAAGCTTGTCCTGCACATTAGATTTACATATGACAATTTCTCAAAAACCCAAGATCAAAATACAAAAACCCACAACTTCGACCGCTAAAAAGAAGGGAAAAATAAGCTAATTGTACGAACCGGAACTTTCTTCTGTGTAACAACACAAACCGAGTCCTTCCCACGCACACCAATCGAGGTTATTCCAGCTGCCTTCACAGCCTTGAACGCATACTCTGTTCAAAATCAAATCCCAAAATTTTAGAAACACAGGAAAAAAAAAACCCTAATTCAGTGGGAGTTGAACATGAGATGGGGCATGGAGATAAAGTGTATATTAAGGTATGCTTACCGACTTGAAAAAGACGACCTTCCGGAGAGAAAATGGTTATGTGACGATCGTAGCCACCTCCACTACCACGACTCATTTCGATTTTTTCAGTGTTTTTACGTTGATTTGATTTGAAATAGAGTTTGGAAATCGAAGAAGAAGAAGAAATAGAAGCTTTCTCTCCAAGACAGAGACGGTGACGAAGAAATCATGAAACATAGGTTTCCTAATATACTTGTGGGGAAAAAAAAATTGTTTGTTTTTGTGTAATTACACAAGGCCCCCCTCTTGTATTCATATTTAGTGGTTGCCATCCCTCAACTATAATTTGTGAAGCCTTGACTAAGTCTAATTTGTGTGCTAAATAGAATGTGGCATATATATATATATACTAGTTATAACCTGTGCATAAAGGCACGATAAAATATAAAATTCAAGCGTCTAAAAAATCGATACCACTATATTAAATTTTTTCAAAATACATTAATTATAAATTAATCAAATATTAAATAATTAAATATATGATATAAATAAGTGGTGTAATATTTTTAGGGAAGAAATATATAAATAATTAAATATGTGATAGAAANAAAATACATTAATTATAAATTAATCAAATATTAAATAATTAAATATATGATATAAATGAGTGGTGTAATATTTTTAGAGAAGAAATATATAAATAATTAAATATGTGATAGAAAAGAGTAATGCGATTTAATGTTTGAGTTTGACAAAAGGATGATGGATGAGATAAGTGATTGATGATATTTTTGAGAAGGAAAATATGACTGGGACAAAATTCAAATACACTCATGTTTTATTATATAGATATATACACACACACACATGGTTCCATCCGGGGCGATGCAAGGGATTGTAGTACTTCATATTTTTTTTATTATTTATTATGTCATATGAAAAGTTAGATAAAATAATTATGAAAATATTTTTGGTGATAATTTTTTTAATAAATTTTAAAAAATAAGGGTGGGTTATTGGGTGAGTTGAGAAGTGGTTACAAATAACNTTGTTTTTGTGTAATTACACAAGGCCCCCCTCTTGTATTCATATTTAGTGGTTGCCATCCCTCAACTATAATTTGTGAAGCCTTGAATAAGTCTAATTTGTGTGCTAAATAGAATGTGGCATATATATATAATAGTTATAACCTGTGTCTAAAGGCACGATAAAATATAAAATTCAAGTGTCTAAAAAATTGATACCACTATATTAAATTTTTCTAAAATACATTAATTATAAATTAATCAAATATTAAATAATTAAATATATGATATAAATGAGTGGTGTAATATTTTTAGAGAAGAAATATATAAATAATTAAATATGTGATAGAAAAGAGTAATGCGATTTAATGTTTGAGTTTGACAAAAGGATGATGGATGAGATAAGTGATTGATGATATTTTTGAGAAGAAAAATATGACTAGGACAAAATTTAAATACACTCACGTTTTATTATATAGATATATACACACACACACACACGTGGTTCCATCCGGTGCGATGCAAGGGATTGTAGTACTTCATATTTTTTTTTATTATTTATTATGTCATATGAAAAGTTAGATAAAATAATTATGAAAATATTTTTGGTGATAATTTTTTTTAATAAATTTTAAAAAATAAGGGTGGGTTATTGGGTGAGTTGAGAAGTGGTTACAAATAACATGTGATAGTATTTCATTAGAGGGAGGATTTAGATTTTGAATTAACAATTTTTAAATTCTAAAAAACTAGGAAATGTAGTGGGAAGGCTTTGTTTTATATATTTGGTTTTAGAGAGTGTAAAATATTATTATATTCTAATATATTTTGACACAATAATTACATAATACGGTTTTGTGTGTTAAATTGTATATCTTAGTGATGTATTTTAATCATAATTTGAATTAAAAAAAAATTATTGTGCTATTTGATTTTTTAGAAAAAAAATAATTATATTGAAATTCTATTTTTGTCCTTAAATTATACAAACTCCTTTTCTTTTTTTGAATTGCATAACGAAATTATAAAATGACTGCTCTTACCTTTAATGGTACATTTTAATTAAAACAAATAAAACTTATCCAGCCCAAACTCGAAGCACTAAACAAAAGCTACACTCGAATCCGAACCAAAACACCAAAAAAAGACATTAAACTCTTTTTACTATCACCCTACTTCTTTCATTTTCTTGTGTAAAAAGTGTATATAGTACATTAGACTCTTGTCATTACGAATCTGAAAAGTTAAATATATTCAATTTTATCCTTCCAAACAAAGAGGTTTTTATGATTCAAAGTTGTGACCTCCAAATCACAATGGAACAACCCTACAACTACGAGATGTTTCTCACTCCCTTGTATCTCTATACAAAATACGAAGGCACCACAAACACACTTCTACCTCTCTCTAAATCCAACCACACACACAATCTCTCTCTCTCTCTCTATTTCAATCCAACAGCACAGACACACTCGTGGATGCTCTCTTTAAGTTTATCTGAAACAAACATGCCAAACCCAATGTAACAATAATACCGTGTCATAATTTCGCATTTGTATATAAAGATTTGTTACAATAGAGACCCCTGTAATGTTTTGGGGGTTGGTGGTGGCTTTGGAGGTTGTGTTTGAAGGAAATACAAAAAATTACTGGATTTTTGTGAAGGTTTGCCTGGTATGGTGATGGGTTGGGAAATTCTAAACAAAATCCTCTTGTGTACAACAGAGGTGCTATCCTTCAAAACAACGTCGTTTAACACCAAAACGATGTCGTTCTATTTAATAAAAAGATGTCATGTTGGTGTAAAACAATGTCGTTTTAAAAAACAACACCCCTACTGTTAAAAAACTAAACAACAGAGAATCCAAATCCATAAAATACATTGACATCACCAAAATTTAACAGCCTACAAACAAAAGGCTACGTGCTATGTAAAATCAGATATCATCTGTGACTGTTAATTTTTTATATCTGACTGTACAGGCATGGAGGAATGAACCCTTGGTGATTGACAATAAATAGAAAAGAAGCCCATATGTAGAAGAATTTGCTGCGGAAACTATGCTGTCCCTTGGGGCCAACGAAAAGGTAACAAGTATGCCCGTGATCAGGTGCATGCAAAACACAAACATACAGAAGTAGTATCAGTTTCAACTTACTGATATCTCATTCTCTTCTCCAGATTCATTGGAACTCTGTTGGAGGACTGCTTTTTCGATGTGGANATCCGAACCAAAACACCAAAAAAAGACATTAAACTCTTTTTACTATCACCCTACTTTTTTCATTTTCTTGTGTAAAAAGTGTATTTTCTTGATCAGACTCTTGTCATTACGAATCTGAAGAGTTAAATATATTCAATTTTATCCTTCCAAACAAAGAGGTTTTTATGATTCGAAGTTGTGACCTCCAAATCACAATGGAACAACCCTACAACTACGAGATGTTTCTCACTCCCTTGTATCTCTATACAAAATACGAAGGCACCACAAACACACTTCTACCTCTCTCTAAATCCAACCACACACACAATCTCTCTCTCTCTCTCTATTTCAATCCAACAGCACAGACACACTCGTGGATGCTCTCTTTAAGTTTATCTGAAACAAACATGCCAAACCCAATGTAACAATAATACCGTGTCATAATTTCGCATTTGTATATAAAGATTTGTTACAATAGAGACCCCTGTAATGTTTTGGGGGTTGGTGGTGGCTTTGGAGGTTGTGTTTGAAGGAAATACAAAAAATTACTGGATTTTTGTGAAGGTTTGCCTGGTATGGTGATGGGTTGGGAAATTCTAAACAAAATCCTCTTGTGTACAACAGAGGTGCTATCCTTCAAAACAACGTCGTTTAACACCAAAACGATGTCGTTCTATTTAATAAAAAGATGTCATGTTGGTGTAAAACAATGTCGTTTTAAAAAACAACACCCCTACTGTTAAAAAACTAAACAACAGAGAATCCAAATCCATAAAATACATTGACATCACCAAAATTTAACAGCCTACAAACAAAAGGCTACGTGCTATGTAAAATCAGATATCATCTGTGACTGTTAATTTTTTATATCTGACTGTACAGGCATGGAGGAATGAACCCTTGGTGATTGACAATAAATAGAAAAGAAGCCCATATGTAGAAGAATTTGCTGCGGAAACTATGCTGTCCCTTGGGGCCAACGAAAAGGTAACAAGTATGCCCGTGATCAGGTGCATGCAAAACACAAACATACAGAAGTAGTATCAGTTTCAACTTACTGATATCTCATTCTCTTCCCCAGATTCATTGGAACTCTGTTGGAGGACTGCTTTTTCGATGTGGATGTTTGGTTTTCCTTAGATTTTTTGCTGCTTACAAATTCCGAAAAAGATGGGACTGGAGGCAGCTTTATATCTTGGGAAATGCTTTGCAATGCGCTTGAAGGAGTTTCTGATCTAGCACTGCCATGGACTTCTTCGCTACTAACTTCTGTTGATACCTGATCCAACATAGTCGGTGACATTAAAGAGGAATTTGTTTTCGAGCTTAAGTGCTCAGAAGCAGGACTGGTAGCGATGCCAAGCCTATTGGTTAATTCAACCATGTTTGCGGTTGGAATCCATCTCACTGTACTCGCCACTTGTGATAAGTAAAAGGATTTTCCAACTTTCCCATATTTCTTGTGGCATTCATTTTCTAGAATGGTGGCAGATGCTTCAAAATCAATCCTGCAGAAGAGAGCAAATAAGGATGTTCCCACGGTTGATTATAGGAAAATGGATTATTTATGATAATAAAGTTGTGCTCAAGACCAGTTTATAACATATCAGCAATAGAAGAGGTGCACATACTGTACATGGGTGAGCTGCTGCTGGATCTGCTTAAGAGCATTTAATAATCTTTGCTTGCTTGACTCCCGGAGTGTTTCAGATATGGCATTCTTGTCAAGTTTCTTGACCTGTACAAGCAACAAATTTTAGTACCTGTCGAAGCAAATGGAGTTCTGAGTAACTAACAATAAAAGAACAAAAATACAGAGTAGAAGCATCTTACTAACTAATCCCACTGCCAATATCTAATCGTTGTTTATAATGGAGCAAACAAATTGCAACTTGATGGATGATGAAACAAATTCTTTTAGAAAAAATGGTTATTTAACATGGTATCAAAACAGGAGGTTTGTGTTTTAATATCGCCGTCAAAAAATCTAGCCCGAACGTAAGGACGTGTGTTGAAGTATAAATATTTCAGTTACAAACTCTCTAATAACTTGAACTTTTAGAGTAGATGGTTATTTATCATAGTGGTTCCTATATGTGTCACCAATTTGATAAAGGTGAATTCAATATCCTCATAAACAGAGAGACTAACTCTCTTCCATAAAAGGGCATATCTAAATTTCCCAAGCATCAGTAGTATGTATTCAAATCCAGAACTTTAAATGCAAAAATTCCACTTGTCGATAGTCCCAAATATAGTGCATATGAAGAAGGAAGACATAAAAAATAAGGAAGACATTAAAGCACAGAGCTTCAAGAATGTCATAAGTCCACCTGCTTGTCAGGGACTTTGTTCTGATAATATTTTTCTTCTGCATGCTGCAGCAGCATAATCCGATCATTTAATCTTCTTTTTGATGGCAAGCTTGACTGAGCCAGGGTTTTTGCAACATCAACACCATCTGGAAGTTGAATGCTCAATTTATGAGGAAAAACATAGAACAAAAGGGAAACACAAAACAGAGTTTTACGATATGATTATCAATAAATCATGCACAGATCACACAAGCAGGCTCTTTGTTACGTAATCAGCACAATTGATATCTACCATCGGAGTCGGATATATCTTCCTCTGATTCAATTGCTTCGTCATCATCATGGTTCCAAAATTCGGAGAATTGTTCTTTGTCCATGAGATTTGAGGAGCTGAAACAGAACAAACATCGAGGAATCAGCAGCATTATAGAACATAAAGTTCACTTCAGAATGTAGGCTATACGTCTATATCCTAAAAGCTATCCTTTAGGAAACAAACTGATCAACCCAACAATACAGAAACTGCTGCAGATGAACTTTCTATCCTAGTAAGCCACAAGATCTAATCAGCCATCAGAGATTAGAAAATTGGTCCTTAAACTCATGCAAAATTGTTACACCACAGAATCTAGTGCATTGTAATATATAGAGTTGGTTCTGAATTCTGACTGCGTTGATTAGATCAGACCATTCCTTGTTTACTAGATGAGGCAACCCAAACAACACAATTGTGCATTTCCTTTTGACATTCACTGTTAATATTCTCTCGTTTCAGCAAATGATTGATATAGTTGCACTCCATAAATTACATATAGGTCTGCTACAATCTAAAACTTTATTGCTCACAGCATGATGCCCCACTGGATGAGAGATTATGATGGTTGGAGATTCACTTGTTTGTCCAGTGATTGTTTGTATGCTATCCACTCATCATAACCCCGATCACATAAATATGCACATTGAAACTCCATNAACTTTATTGCTCACAGCATGATGCCCCACTGGATGAGAGATTATGATGGTTGGAGGTTCACTTGTTTGTCCAGTGATTGTTTGTATGCTATCCACTCATCATAACCCCAATCACATAAATATGCACATTGAAACTCCTTCCTTTTCCAAAAATACATGACACATTATCCCTTTGTTCCTTTGCCTTCGAATTTCTTTTCAAGTAATCACAAGTTACAAACTTTTCCATCATTCACTATAAGTAAGACCATAGCTTCCATGGCATATTTGGGTTAAAAATGAAACCATATTGATTTTCTGATTATTATCCCATGTCATAGTCTTAGTTTAGGCACTCAATTAAGAGAAACCACTGCTGGACATGTTTCCTGGCCTTTATTTGCAAGATTCTTCATGGAAGAAAATGCATTGCGTTAATCATTTCTCCATTGACTACTGCCATTATCTACGAAGGTTAGCAATTAGCTATATTGGCAGCAAAGAATAAGCTGAGGTTCTTTTTTCAGCATATCCAAGCTGCAGACCAGTTGATTTATAGAGGTAATCTATATTATCAGCCACACAAAAACATCCAAGAAAGAATACCTTTATGGTGACAAAGGATTAAAAAAAATTGAGACTCAATGCAAAAACAGGAATTAGGATGATCCTAGCAGTTTAGCTGTAGATGAAATGATTAATCAAACAAACCCATAATAGTACAAAAGATTTGTACTGCTCTTTCCCATGTTTATAGTCTATTAGGTAATTAGGAAACTAATGAAAACTTTTTGGAGGAAGCATATACTTGATTCTGGAGTCCTATCACAAATCGAGTTTTTTTATGCCTGTTTAACAATAGCAATGAGCCTGTATCAAAAGCTAACGCATCTATTGATAGTTTACCGATGCAATCAGAGATCCCAACACTCCTATATTTACATGATTGGAAATAAATTACCTGCTTATATATATTCGAGAGGATCCATTTCCGTGGCGCAAAGCACTAGTCATAAGCTCCTCCAAATACTTGGCAACTAAATGTGGATGTTTGCATGCATCACATGAACGTCTGCATAATGATGCAGTCACCTACTTTTCCAAGACAACATGTAAGTGGCATCTTTTGAGCATTAAATAATGAAAAAAAGTAGCCTAATGTACAAAAGGATTACACATAATGATGAATTCAAGTACCTGTTCCCCGAAACTCTCAAGGATCTTTTTCCTACGGCAGTTAGACTCTTCACAGTATTCAACCACCTGCTTGCATTATTCAGTCAAGATATATGCGAATCTATGCAAGAAAAGGTTAACATATCATTATAGATAGGTTGGAATAGCTACCTGATTGAAATCAGCTATGGACTTCTTTGAGGACCCATCCTGTGAACCTGAGGACTGCAACTTCTTGCTTTCAGCACTTTTTAAAATAAATTCCTGCACTCCCCCCCGCGCCCCCCCAAAAAAAAAAAAAGAAGAGAATAAATTCCTGCAGTATATTTTTTTGAAGATTTCAAATTCTGATAACCACCTTGAAAATAAAACAATTGAAATAGGCAAACATGGTGATCCAACCATTCTTTTGCGGTCATCCGTTCCATAGTACAACACGCTTCTAGAGGGCAATTGATCACGACCAGCCCTACCCGACTCTTGATAAAAGGCTTCCATCGACTTGGGAATATTAAAGTGGCAAACAATTCTGACATCCTTACGATCTATACCCTACAAATATTGTTCATAGTACATTAATTCATATCCACTGATAGTGAAACTTGAAAGAGGCTAGAATAAGAACTTGTTAAAATTGCTAGTAACAGTTGCATACCATCCTGAACGAACACCATTAGCTCAAAAAACCGTGCATGCACCAGGATTGCTCCAAATAAAATCCAGCGACAAAAATACCAACAGATATATGACAATCTCAAGTTAATCAAGAGTTTTAAGTGTATAAATAAAATTGCATGTGAAAGCATCTCAAAACACATTAAAGCATGGCATGGCACATTTTTTGTTAAGGCAGCCACTTCTTGCAAGAAGAAAAAGAACTGATGGGCTAAGTTTGGGTAAGTCTACCCCTCCCAACATCTGGAATCAAGGGAACCACCACTATGCAATGTGACTGGTTGCATGTAGCTGGCTTCAACAAAGGCACTACCTTCCTCTATTTCAGATTATACATTCTTGTCATATTTTATTTTTTGTTTCAGTGTCATAAGAGATATTATGTCAGCAATGTTAGCTAATCAACAAAAGTAAGATTACAAAAAAGTTAAACTGATGTAAAATTACATATTCCTTTCTATCAAAGGTCTTGAGTGTTACTAATTGTTTGATTGGGACCCTGATTGTCAAACTACTACAAGAAAAATATATTTAATCCACCTAATTATCAAAAAGCCTTGTCCACAAGCATGTTTCAGTCACTTACGCTTTGAAGTAGGACTATTAGTCGAACGAGCCCGAGCCCGAGCCGAGCTTGAAAAGCTTATTTCTTGATTAAACCTAAAAAATTATTCAAGTTCAGCTCATTTAGGAAACGAGCCGAGCCTGAATGAGTCAAAAACAAGTCGAGCTCGAGCCGAACCCGAGTATTTGCACATAAACGAGTCGAGCCAATCGAGTTTGAGCCGAGCTTATAGAGCTTGATTTCTAAACGAGCCTAAAAACTTCTTCAAGTTTGAGCTCATTTAAAAAACGAACCCAGTCTGAATGAGCTGAACCTAAGCTGAATTCAGGCCAAGCTCGAGTAGCTCAGTTTGATTAACGGCCCTACTTTGAAGGCATCAATGTATGTAGATATCAGGTAGAGAAAATGCCATGTGGTCATATATTCTCTTCCAAAGTCCCGGTGTGATTAGCAGTACGATACAACATAATTCAGGCACATTGTGATGTACTGTAGTTTTCCAAATCTACAAATGAGTTGAGCATGGGTAGGTAAGAAAATGATCATCTCATTTGTCCGAATTAAATTGAAATAGATGATTTTCCACCACATTGATGGACTAAAGGCTGATATTCATGTTGACTTCACCAATGTTGGAGTGAAGNAACACATTAAAGCATGGCATGGCACATTTTTTGTTAAGGCAGCCACTTCTTGCAAGAAGAAAAAGAACTGATGGGCTAAGTTTGGGTAAGTCTACCCCTCCCAACATCTGGAATCAAGGGAACCACCACTATGCAATGTGACTGGTTGCATGTAGCTGGCTTCAACGAAGGCACTACCTTCCTCTATTTCAGATTATACATTCTTGTCATATTTTATTTTTTGTTTCAGTGTCATAAGAGATATTATGTCAGCAATGTTAGCTAATCAACAAAAGTAAGATTACAAAAAAGTTAAACTGATGTAAAATTACATATTCCTTTCTATCAAAGGTCTTGAGTGTTACTCATTGTTTGATTGGGACCCTGATTGTCAAACTACTACAAGAAAAATATATTTAATCCACCTAATTATCAGAAAGCCTTGTCCACAAGCATGTTTCAGTCACTTACGCTTTGAAGTAGGACTATTAGTCGAACGAGCCCGAGCCGAGCTTGAAAAGCTTGTTTCTTGATTAAACCTAAAAAATTATTCAAGTTCAGCTCATTTAGGAAACGAGCCGAGCCTGAACGAGTCAAAAAAAAGTCGAGCTCGAGCCGAACCCGAGTATTTGCACATAAACGAGTCGAGCCAATCGAGTTTGAGCCGAGCTTATAGAGCTTAATTTCTAAACGAGCCTAAAAACTTCTTCAAGTTTGGGCTCATTTAAAAAACGAACCCAGTTTGAATGAGCTGAACCTAAGCTGAATTCAAGCCAAGCTCGAGTAGCTCAGTTTGATTAACGGCCCTACTTTGAAGGCATCAATGTATGTAAATATCAGGTAGAGAAAATGCCATGTGGTAATATATTCTCTTCCAAAGTCCCGGTGTGATTAGCAGTACGATACAACATAATTCAGGCACATTGTGATGTACTGTAGTTTTCCAAATCTACAAATGAGTTGAGCATGGGTAGGTAAGAAAATGATCATCTCATTTGCCCGAATTAAATTGAAATAGATGATTTTCCATGACATTGATGGACTAAAGGCTGATATTCATGTTGACTTCACCAATGTTGGAGTGCTGGAAGAGGTAGCCTAACTTTTGGCATAATCTGCACGAAGTGGCCAACCGCAGATTCGAACCCACATTACTGCACATAACTTCCCCACTATTTTATCTATTCACCAAAGATCTAATGCATCAGATTAAGATGCAAGAAAACTCCAGAAGTGGCTTTAGTCACAAGAAGAGTGGCACCTATAAGGATGATATTATAATTGGTTCACGAAAAAGAACACACCCTTTGTGTAAAATCAGGAAATAAACATACCCAAAAGCCACTGTAGCCACTACCACCTGTGTCTTAGAAGAAATCCAATCATCCAAAACAGAACTCCGCAATTTATTGTTCAATCCCGCATGATATGCTGAAAGCACATTAAAAACAAAAAAAAAACATGATAAGAAAACCTTAGGCAGAAAAGTTTAGGAGAGAAGAATAAAACCATTTGGTTACCAGCACAGGATATGCCATTCTTTAATAGATGAGCAGCCAAATTATCGCAAGTTGTACGTTCAAGGCAATAAACAATTGCACAAACATCTCCAGAAGATTTGAGTAGATTTCCTAAATCGACATATGCATCGTCCAAAAGATCCTTGTATCGAACTGTGTTATGTAGGAAATTAGACAGGTACATGCTAACTATGCTTTGCACAGTCAAAAAAGTGTCTCAAGCAATCGAAATGCACTCCCACCCCACAAGCTACCTTACACAAATCAACTACAAAAGCTATTTTGCCTACCTTCATAATATATATTTGGACGATTAAAGGATGATTTTAGGACTAGAGGGCTTTGCAAGCACAAGGACTCTATCACATCCTTTTGTACTCTGTAGAACAAAATAATAATCAGCAGATAAGACGTGCACCTTCTCGCCAAGAAGATATTGTTCTGAACAAAAATTGTGGGCAAGAGAAAGTTGCAGTAAAGCTAGGATTATTTGAAAAATTAAGGAACACATAATACAGTTCACTTTTTTGAACAAATACTATGCCAGCTTCACGCTTTCGGTTCTGTTGGTGCTAGAAACAATGTTATCTTCTCCACATTATTATTTCTCTAGAGTCAATAATTTTATAAGAAACTATTGAACTCAATCACTTCTTGTTGTGACTCTTCAGTTTTCAATTAAGGTATATCCTGTAGAGATACTCAAATTGGAGCAGTAATGGTCAATTTGTAGGTTTCATCGTAAACCTAATTGGTTATTTCTAGTCTTCACAGCGCAACAATTATGTCCAAGGAAGTACATTACACAGATCTATCAGAAAAAGTAAACAACAACAATCAACTTGTACAATAATACTTTGGCGAGACTCTACTTATGAGACAAACACGAGAGTACCCCAAAATTTTGAGTTCCGACAAAAGTATAAAAATTTGGGGACAGGGGTAGAGTAGGGGAAATACTGAAGTATTGGAGCTGTCGAAAATACAGGAAAATCCTAGATCCTTTCTTGTGAGGATATAAAGGATTGAATTTCATAGTTTTTTTTTTTTTCAGAAATAGGGCATTGCAACACTCACTTAGGAACAGCAGTAGCTGTCAATGCCAATATTGGAATATTTGGTAGGTGTTTCCTTAAAGAAGCAAGCTTCCGATAGCTAGGCCTGCACAATACAAACAAAAGAAAAGTTAGAGATACCAAGACATTAAACCAACAAAAGTTTCCATTGTGACCAAAATCAATACCAAGACATTGAACCAACAAGGGACTCCAAGAGTCCAGTATGATGGAGACATATTTGCGTCTCCATGAGAACAAAAAACAAACCCAGTCCTACTGTTACCTAAGTTTGATATGTGATGACATCATTAATGAAATATAGCATGCTAGGAAGGACAGTCACTGCAAGATCATTGTTAATATTCCCATGTAGTTATTACAGGGCGTTGTTGAGCTGAGATGAGTATAAACAAATAACGTAACTAAAGACATCTGCAGATGGATTGGATAAGTAACCTGAAGTCATGGCCCCAACTTGAGATGCAATGTGCCTGAGAATTTGAGGAACAGGTGGAATTATATACCAACACCAGCAGCTTCCAGCTGAAACCAATTGAATGTACTTATAATCACAACTAGGGGTCATGGAAATTCAGACCTCATCTATAGCAATCAGATTTAACAATCCTCTAGCATGAATCTTTGTTAGCTTCGACATAAATCCTGATGTTGCAATCAATTCTGGTGTCACATAAAGCAATCTTATGGATGGCTTTCCAGAATCAAGGTCTTCATGGATCTAAAATCCAGATAAAGAAGCCAGAGTTAGTGCAGAACTAAATATTTATTACATTTTTGGGACAGTGACCAAGAAGCTGCTAATGTGAATAGATGTCAGAAAACTAATTGTTAGGAACCAGATTCAAGAATAAGTTTGACATGTGTACAATAATAAGTGGAATGGTGATGCTGGTTGTTGCATGAAATGGAAGTAAAATGAGAATGATAGAAAAAAGTTACCAAATCAATCATATGATTAGCATTGGTGAACAAACTCAAAATCAATACTACCGAAGGCANATGGTGATGCTGGTTGTTGCATGAAATGGAAGTAAAATGAGAATGATAGAAAAAAGGTACCAAATCAATCATATGATTGGCATTGGTGAACAAACTCAAAATCAATACTACCGAAGGCAGAATTTTACCCAAAGAGGGAACTCAATTATTGTTCATGCATCTAAAAACTAGAAATTGATTATACATCTTCAGGTCCTCAATACTAAGTCAAGACTGACACTAAATAAACTTAATCAGCAACTTATTTTATGTCACATCAAGTGAATCACCATAAACCAACTGACAACTTGAACTGGATTTTGTTAAAAAGATCATGGATTGTAGAGTGGAACTTATCAATATCACATCACACACCATTGACGGTTAATTCTGCTCAACACGTTGACAAATGACTGCATTAGTAACACTACAGAGCTTATCATTATGATAGGGGCAAGGCAACCTTAATTATCTGGTGTTTTTGTACAACAATATCCTGCCAAGAAAGTACTCCACATGTAACACCATCTTCCCTTCCTCCTAAATCCTAATGAAGCATTCATGCCAAGAAAAACTGCGCCCCGCCCCCCCCTCCAAAAAAAAAAAATCATGGTTACCAACTTTATATGCCTAACTTTTCTGCCATTCACACAAAAGAAAAGAATATTCAAATTCAAATTCCAATCACCTTATCTTTCACTTGTGAAGTTTGAGTTGAGGAAAGATATTCAGCGGCAATTCCTTTCTCCTTCAATACCATTACTTGGTTTTCCTGATTGGGGGTGTTAAAACAATCTTATTAATCTTCCAGAATGAACACCTGAAAAAAATTAGAGCAAGAAAGTTGGAAGGCACTTACCATCAAAGCTGTTAATAAAATGGCACACCAACAGAAGCAATCAAGTTGTGTCCTGGCACTTGAAAGTCAAACAAACTGGCAGCTTATGATTCCTCCATAGAGATATTAAATAAAACAAGAAATTAGTAGCATTCACCTATTAAAGGGCAAACAACAAGCACAATCCCTGGGTTAGCCAGTGCAGGGATTTGATAACACATTGACTTCCCACCACCAGTTGGCATGAGACAAAAACAATCTCTTCCTGCATTCGAATCAAACGCTATTAGCACAACCAAATGCCACATTGCTGCCAATTTCCAAGAACGCCACACACATCAAAGAGATGAAAAGAAGGATAAAACAAATCCAAAAAGACCACTTTAATGTAGATGATATTAAAGGGACCTGATAAAACAGCTTCGATGGCTTCCAATTGCGTTCCCCGGAATTCAGAGTGCCCAAAATGCCATCTTAACAGCTTCACTAAAGCTTCCTTCCCCTGTATCTGCTTCTTTGATCCGCATATATTTTGCACAGGCAACAGTGACTTCTTCATTTCCACTAACCAACCTATGCGACCTCACAAACAAACAACATTCAGAAAATTGGTTCATTTTTTTTCTGGAAAAAAAAACCACAAAACATTGTAGTCTAATTCAAGATTGACATCAAAGCACGCACAAGCTAGGGAAAAACAGTAACTAATCATTAAATTATCATGCAGCCTAAGGTATGAACAATTACAACACTGGGTGCCTTTATTTGACTTTTTTAAGTCTTATTACAATGGCCATTTGGGTTTTAAGAAGTNTAACTAATCATTAAATTATCATGCAGCCTAAGGTATGAACAATTACAACACTGGGTACCTTTATTTGACTTTTTTAAGTCTTATTACAATGGCCATTTGGGTTTTAAGAACTAAAATTGCAGAATCAAGAGATACATATGATAATCATAATATGCGATTATCACGATTTCAAGAATTCAAGAAGAATTCTTAGATCAGAATAAAAATCTCAAAATTGTTTCGAAAAGAATCAGATTTTGGACAATGAACAATAACTAAAAGGAAGAACCAGAAAAAGAGTAATTANGAATTCTTAGATCAGAATAAAAATCTCAAAATTGTTTCGAAAAGAATCAGATTTTGAACAATGAACAATAACTAAAAGGAAGAACCAGAAAAAGAGTAATTAGAGAGAGAGAGAGAGAGAGAGAGAGAACCTGAAATTGGCGGGAATCGTATCAGAGAAGAGGAGGAAAGCGAGGTAATTGCTGGGAACTTGTAACTTGTAAGTACAATAGTTGAGGGGACAGAAAAGAACAGTGGCAATTTGGGAAACAAAAAAAGTTCAGGCTCATGAGTAATTACAGATTCTTATTAAGGGTATTATGGGGAATACACTTCGATTCAACTATCTAACCTTAAAGAGCTGAGAACAGCGTTCTCGAATTAGGGTTTCTGCAGAGCTGCCTCTCAATTTCTGTATTCGCTCCTGTGTTCCACTTTCTCTTGCTTATCGCCTCTGAAATTAGGGATTTTCTTAAAATACAGATACAACCGTAGAAAAATGGGTCACTCGAACGTTTGGAACTCACATCCCAAGAACTTTGGCCCTGGGTCGCGTACTTGGTGAGCCTATATTTCATGTGTTTTTTTTGCTTTTAGTTCATAATTATTGATTTGATTATTGTTTGTGTTCTTTGTTTAAAATTAGGTTATTCTCNCAAGAACTTTGGCCCTGGGTCGCGTACTTGGTGAGCCTATATTTCATGTGTTTTTTATGCTTTTAATTCATAATTATTGATTTGATTATTGTTTGTGTTCTTTGTTGAAAATTAGGTTATTCTCCATTGTTTGTTTGTTTGTCTGACTTTAATCATATTAAGTTTTATGATATGATGTTAGTTTATCGAACTCATTTAGTACGTATGTCTTTTTATGTATATGTGCAAAATTGGAATATATTGTGTTGGGTTGGGTTATATTGTGTGCGTGAAATCAAAATCTTACTTGCAAATGAGAGTTTGTTGTTTGGACTGTACTGATTTGGCCTCGAGTACTGTAGTTTGTTAGCATATACTGCATTTGGCAACATGGGGTTAGGGCCTTGGAATTGTAGTTGGATGAAATCTGATTCGAATTTTGCGTTAGTTTTCAATGAAGATTCTAAGATTAATGGTTGAATTCAATGTTTCCAAATGTAGTGCAAAACCTTGTTTTTATCAAGGTAGTGCAAAACCTTCAAGCACCTCATACTTGTTCTCAAAAATTCTTGAGTTTCTTTCCAACCAAATCACCCAAATGATAGCTCCATTGCTCTTCCTTTCGCAGCCACTACATTCCACACAAAACATAGTAGAAATAAATTTTTGAGCCACCCAAGAAAGCCATACCATTTCAAACAATTTATTCCACCTATGAAGGACATATACAAACCTTGGAATACGGTAAATTTTGAAAATATATGTTTATTAAAATAATATAATATAGTTTTTAGATAATAATAGAGTTATAATATATTAAAAATAAAGCATATATTATATTATTTTTTTGATTAAAATTGAAATAGATCAAAATGAATATTCACCATTTTCATCAAATATCATTGCATCTATTAATATTCATATATATAAGTTACATAACAAAAGATATATTTAAAATAGAAATCACACTCATTTTAATAGTTAACAGTAGGGTTTTTTTTAAAAAATCCCTTTCCATGTCCTAGCCATGTCGTGTCTTGGTAGTGTCTAACTGAGTTTACTGTTTAAGACACTTCTAACCGTGTCGGACACTTGTCTGACCGTGTGACACTTCCGCAACACCCCTCTGGAAAGTATCTGCACTTCCTAGTATTCCACAAATACCAAGCAATTTAAAAATGCAAAAATAAATGATCCACATTCTTACCATCAACCCTACACATATTACACACCATTGTGGATAAAGGCATGCATTAGGTCTTCTCTTTTGTTGCATATCATTGGTATTAATCTTGCCATGAGTCATAACCCATGCACACAGTGACACTTTCAAAGGTGCTTTAGGCTTCCCAATCTTCAAAGATAGATAAAAAAATTGGGAGGGAATAATCATCAATCAAGGAGACAAAAAAGAATTTTCATGAGAATGAACCCATTTAGTCAATGGCGAGTTGGATGGCTGTTTGTGGTTGTCTTGATGTTGTATAACTTTCTGTTTTTTTATTTATTTATTTTTTCTGTTTTAATGTAGTGCTTTTATGTATTCTGGCTGGACTTCTTGTCCATCTATACCATTGTTCTACATCCATTTTGTTCTATTAATATAGTCTTTGTTTCTTTCAAAAAATAAAGTTACTGGAAATTGTTTAAAGGAAGATGCTACAGAAGGGGCTTGATTGTATTGAAGAAATACTCATCTTATTTGCTTGATTTTTAACAGCCGTGTCTGCGGAAACCCACATGGGTTGATCAGGAAGTATGCACTCATGTGTTGCAGGCAGTGCTTTCGCAGCAATGTAAAAGAAATTGGCTTCATCAAGGTCTGTTTTGTGTCTCATGAAATACTTGTTGCATATTCTATGTATTGAATTTTACAATATTGAAGAAATGCTGCTGCTGCTGCATTTATGCATTGCCGTATGTTGAGATTGTTTTGTTTTTCTACACTATCTCATCACATTTTTTCTTATGCGACCTCTGCAATTTGTTTCTCTACAATATCTCCATCTTATTTTGGGCTCTTGTCTACAAAGATCATGTATTGCTTTTGTTGTTATCTAGTTTTCGTCGCTCAGTTTCTATGATACATTGAATGCTGTTTCATTTTAGGAGAACTGCTTGTAGCCTTGCACGAAAATTGGGACCTTGTATGATATTTATTTTATTTAGACAAGTTTCATTGGGCCTTTTATACCATACTAGGCTATAAATCTCAGGGGGCTGCTTGGAAATCAATTGAACAGTTCATTATAACTCTTAGCTCAATTTTTTTGCCAATGTGGTTTGTTGATCTGCTTCTTGGGATTCCCCCAAAGCGCCCCCTCAAGCTCTACACCATATGTGGTTATTGTCTTTTAGCAAAGATAATATCACACACCTGCTCCCATTTTAGGTGATAAAATTAAAGTGGAACACTCAATGAATTTTAGGTGTTGAATGTTAAATTTGTTAATTCACAGATTATTTGGTATTCATTGAAATTTAAGTATTGAATTAAATCAAACTATTTGACAAATATAATTATATAAAGGGTTGAATTTTAAAATTTATTATTATTATTTTAATTTTGCCTTTTATTTAATTATCTCTTTGCAATTGTATTATTTTTATCAACACCATCACAATGGTGGCAGTGATAGTGGNTGAATTAAATCAAACTATTTGACAAATATAATTATATAAAGGGTTGAATTTTAAAAATTATTATTATTATTTTAATTTTGCCTTTTATTTAATTATCTCTTCGCAATTGTATTATTTTTATCAACACCATCACAATGGTGGCGGTGATAGTGGTGGCGTTGGCATAATGATAGTAGCAGTGATAATGGTAGTGGCGATAGAGGCAGTGATGGCAATGACGACAACGCAGTAATGGTGGGGGTGGGGGTGGGGGTGGCACAATGATAGTGGTGGTGACGGTAATATTAGTGGCACAATGGTAGAGGCGGCGACGGCAACACAATTTGGTGATGGTGGATGGTGGGTATTGAAAAGTTAAGAGTGTAAAATGCATTAAGATTATGCTTGTCCATTATGAAGAATTGATAAAAATTTTACTAACTAATATTTTTAGAGTAATATTAGATAGACTTAAAAATTAGACTTGATAATCTCGAATAGGTAATGAGTCTCAATAAATGCTAGAACCCATCGTGAAATCAATGACTGAGATTATCAAGTTTAATTTTTAAATCTATGTAGCATTGCTCATATTTTTAGCAATGATAAATAGGAGGTTTGTTACTTAAGTGCTTAACATATCAAGTGGTATGAATTTTAGATTATTAAATAAGTTTAATTCATTAAGTACTTAAAAGTATTTACCGGTGTAATCAAATATTTTTTTACTTTTTGGGATGCTTGGCAGTCATAATCTGTGGTGTCATGGAGACAAGGTGAAGTCCATCTCTTATGCCAACCTATGGGGTATAACTAGAATAAGGTGATTCGGGCGCATAAGCCAAAAGAATTTCATTAATTTTTCAAGCAGGTAGAGCACCTTCGCATTGGTATTTTATGTGGACAGTAAGAGCAGTATTTGGTCGACATAGAAGAATCAATCAGTATTTAATACAAATTAAATATGGAATAATATGATTAATTAGACCCATATAGCACCTATACACATTTCAATTTTTTTTTAAAATTTTTGAACGAATTATTTTTATTAATAATTTAGAGACTCACTTGTTTGGAATGAAAATCCCACCGCTGACGAAATCTTGGTTTAATTTAACTTGAATTTTGCATGATAAATTATGCAATAAGAAGAAAATAACAAGAAAATCTATTAGAGAAAATCTCACTCACATTCCAATCTATGATATATTTTTTTTTTTTTTTTTTTTTGTTGCAAGGTGTTCAGATTTGCACTGGTTAGATAGCAAAATAAAATTCAAAGATATGGTAGTCAAAGGGTAGATAAGAACTTAAGATATTAAAAATAATAAAATAAAATACAAAAATATAATGTGGTTCAATATAGTAGATTCACATTACTATATCGTATCGATATTTACAAACGAAAAAATTATATTGGGGTATTTCTAAATGATAAATTAGTTATTTGATAATTAGTTACATAATAATATTCAATATTATTTATAAAATAAAATACTGTAATCCAAATTTATTAAGATAATTGTCTTGCTAANGAACTTAAGATATTAAAAATAATAAAATAAAATACAAAAATATAATGTGGTTCAATGTAGTAGATTCACATTACTATATCGTATCGATATTTACAAATGAAAAAATTATATTGGGGTATTTCTAAATGATAAATTAGTTATTTGATAATTAATTACATAATAATATTCAATATTATTTATAAAATAAAATACTGTAATCCAAATTTATTAAGATAATTGTCTTGCTAACATTCCTGCTACCGAACAGTGTGTGAGAAAGGGAGAAGAGTTGAAGATGTTGTACTTGCTACCACACCTTCACTTAGGGTGGGCAGTCAATCAAGCCATTCTCGCGGAGGAGTAACGCCTGGTTGTCATCCGATTCGGCCATGACTGGGACGAAACATGCATGCAGATGGATTAGGTGTTGGCTTCAGTTGGTGAGAGAATAAAGAAGTTTGCAGTGACATATACATCCCTGGTGGACATCATTGAGGTGCCTTGACTTCAACACTATGTTTGAGTTCTACTAGGAACAGGCTCATTATGATTGATCTTGGTGATGAGTTTTACAGATAGAGAGAAACACAGAGAAGACAGAAAGAAATGATATTTCAATGTAAATCTTTTCATACTTATACAAGAGTATGCCTTCGGTTTTTATATGAAGGCATTGAGGATACCGCTGGAATCTAATAGAATGACAACATGACAAATATCAGTTGATTAGTTACAACTGATTAGTGAAACGATTTTAGTTACAACATCCTAATCAGTTAGATTAGTTGCTCTGGTTATCATCCCCCCTCAAATTAATGGGTGGTGACCCAACTATAAGTTTGTCTCACAGTTGAAGAAATCTAGAAGAAGCAAGGCTCTTGGTAAAAACATTAGCAAATTGATTAGTAGAAGAAATATAATGAACCACAAGATCTTTGCTTTAAACCTTCTCTCGGATAAAATGAAAGTCAATATCTATATGCTTCGTATGACCATGAAACACTGGATTTGATGCTAAGGCCAGAGTAGAAACATTATCACACTAGAGAGTGGGGGCTTGGGGCAGCAGTACTTGAAGATCCTTAAGCAATAGTTGAAGCCAAGTAAGTTCAGCTGTGGTATATGCTAGGGCCTGAATTCTGCTTATATGGAGGACCTAGACACAGTAGTTTGCTTCTTAGTGCCCCAGTGAATGGGATTATCACTCAAAGCAAGGATAAACCCTGTAGTAGATCTCCTGTCATCAGGGTCCCCTGCCCAGTCTACATCACTGAAGGCAGAAAGACTCAGACCACCTTTTTGGATAAGAAATACCAAATGTAGAAGTATTTTTGAGGTATCTTAAGATTCTTTTCATAGCAGCAAAGTGAACATCTGTGGGAGCTTGCATATGCTGACAAACCTGATTTACTGAAAAATTGATATCTGGTCTAGTAAATGTCAAGTATTGAAGGGAACCAACAACACTTCTATAAAAGAATGGATTTGCAAAAGGTGTACCAGCAGTTTTACTCAATCTAGATGAAGCTACACAAGGAGTTTTACAGGGTTTGCAGTCAGACATGTTGGTTTTTGAAGAAGATTAATAATGTATTTTTCCTGACTGAGAAACAAACCAGTAGAAGTATATTGAATCTGTAGACCAAAAAAGAAATGCAATGCATCTAAATCTTTTATTTCAAACTGCAGATTTAGTTGGTGCTTCAGAGTGATAATGAATTGAGGATCATTTCCTATGAGAATTATATCATCAACATAAAAGAGGAGTATAGTGAGAGAACCATTGACTTTTCTAAGAAACAAAGAAGGATCTAAAAAAGAAGAAGAAACAAAACCATTTGTGACCAATTGCGAAGTGAATTTCTAAAACCAGGCCCTAGGGGCCTGCTGCAAACCATAGATAGATTTATGTAACTGACACACATGTGTAGGACACTGTGGATCAATAAAACCAGGAGGTTGTGACATGTGAATAGACTCAGTGATTGTTCCATGAAAAAAAACATTTTTAACATCCAATTGATGCAGCTTCCAATTGAACTGAGTGACCAAAGCAAGAATGAGTTTAACAGTGGCATGCTTCACCACAGGACTAAAGGTTTCATAAAAATCAACCTCCTCCTCTAGATGAAATCTCNTGAAATCCCTTTGCCACCAACCGAGCTTTATATCTAGAGATAGAACCATCTGAATTTTGTTTTATTCGATAAACCCACTTGCAGCAAATTACATTTTGAATGGGAGAAGGTGGAACAAGAGACCAAATGCCCTGATTCTGGAATGCAGTAAACTCTTCTGCCATAGCTTTCCTCTATTCAGGGTATTTAGAAGCAGCTGTATAAGAAGTGGGTTTTGAGATAGAGGAAGAAGGTGTAGCTATATATGTTTTGGGTTGAAGATTCCTGACTTGGACCTAGTGTGCATAGGATGAACTGAAACTGGACTAGAATCTATAGGAGTAGAAGTAGGTAAAGGTGGAATGAGAGAAATAGAAGAAGATACCTCAGAGTGAGGCGCTAGAGAAGAAGAAACACATGAAGAAACAAAGGATTTAGATATGGAATGGATGCAAAAGAATTAGAAGAAGAAAAGTCCCAAACAGAAGCAGAACTAGTGGATACAGTAGAGGGAAACCAATGAGTTGAATCTGGAAAAACAAATGAAGATGTGTAAGATTGAGTTGCATAAGAAAACACATTCTCATAAAAAACATGTCTAGAAGTATAAATCCTATGATGGAGAGGATCGTAGCACAAGTATCTCTTGTAGTCAAAAGGATAGCCAATGAAAATGCACTGAGTGGTCTTGGGTTCAAGCTTATGTTTGTTGTAAGGTTCCCAAAAGAGGATAACAAGCACAACCAAACACTTTGAGAGAGGAGTAATCTGGAATTTCATGAAAAAGCAGTTCATAAGGAGATTTATGAGATGTGACCTTACTAGACATCCTATTAATAAGATAGGTGGTTGTTGCAAAAGCATGGAACCAGAAAGAGTAAGGTAAAGAAGCTTTGGTAAGAAGAGCAATGACTGTTTCTGTAATGTGTCTATGTTTTCTCTTTGCAATACCATTTTGTTGAGGAGTGTGAGGANAGAAGCTTTGGTAAGAAGAGCAATGACTGTTTCTGTAATGTGTCTATGTTTTCTCTCAGCAATACCATTTTGTTGAGGAGTGTGAGAANAGGTAAAGGTGGAATGAGAGAAATAGAAGAAGATACCTCAGAGTGAGGCGCTAGAGAAGAAGAAACACATGAAGAAACAAAGGATTTAGATATGGAATGGATGCAAAAGAATTAGAAGAAGAAAAGTCCCAAACAGAAGCAGAACTAGTGGATACAGTAGAGGGAAACCAATGAGTTGAATCTGGAAAAACAAATGAAGATGTGTAAGATTGAGTTGCATAAGAAAACACATTCTCATAAAAAACATGTCTAGAAGTATAAATCCTATGATGGAGAGGATCGTAGCACAAGTATCTCTTGTAGTCAAAAGGATAGCCAATGAAAATGCACTGAGTGGTCTTGGGTTCAAGCTTATGTTTGTTGTAAGGTTCCNGAACTAGTGGATACAGTAGAGGGAAACCAATGAGTTGAATCTGGAAAAACAAATGAAGATGTGTAAGATTGAGTTGCATAAGAAAACACATTCTCATAAAAAACATGTCTAGAAGCATAAATCCTATGATGGAGAGGATCATAGCACAAGTATCTCTTGTAGTCAAAAGGATAGCCAATGAAAATGCACTGAGTGGTCTTGGGCTCAAGCTTATGTTTGTTGTAAGGTTCCAAAAGAGGATAACAAGCACAACCAAACACTTTGAGAGAGGAGTAATCTGGAATTTCATGAAAAAGCAGTTCATAAGGAGATTTATGAGATGTGACCTTACTAGACATCCTATTAATAAGATAGGTGGTTGTTGCAAAAGCATGGAACCAGAAAGAGTAAGGTAAAGAAGCTTTGGTAAGAAGAGCAATGACTGTTTCTGTAATGTGTCTATGTTTTCTCTTTGCAATACCATTTTGTTGAGGAGTGTGAGGACAAGATTTGATGTGATGAATGTCATTAAGAGTAAGATATTGCTTGAGTTGAAGACTACTGTATTCACCACCTCCATAAGAATGCAAAGTTTTAAGAGTATGAGACAATTTATTCTCAATGTAGGGCTTAAATTGAGTAAACATAGTATACACATCTGATTTGGCAAGTAAGGGAAATATCCAAGTAAATCTAGTGCAATCATTAACGAACGAAACATAGTATTTGTAGCCAATTAGCCATGAATAGAAGGGTGAGGAGCAGGACCCCAAACATCACTATGCAACATATGTAAAGGTGAAGCTGAAAATGTGGTAGAAATCGAAAAAAGTTGCTTGGACATTTTGCCATATAAACACTGAGTACATTGACAAGAATGAAAGCCAGATTTATTGTAAGGAATATTAGACTTGGACAAAATTTGATGCAGAACTGGAGAAGATGGATGGCCTAAGTGATCATGCCATGTGTGAACTGTTGCTTTGGTGCCAAGAAAAACAATAGGAGATGAAGATGAAGACTGAACACCAACAATTGGATACAAGCCATTGCTACATTTGCCTTGATAAAGGACTTGCTTGGTGGCCTTGTCCTGAATGATAAAGGAGTTAAAATCAAACATGAATTGACAATGATTATCTTGACAAAATTTCTTAACAAAAATCATATTAGCAAAAATAGCAAGAACTCTGAGTACATTATTGAGTTTAAAACAATAAGGAGTGACAAGAAGAGAGTGACCTGAGTGAGTAATAGGAAGTTCATGACCATTACCAACAGTAATACTGGCATCTCCTTGATAAGGAGAAGCAAGAGTAAGATTATCAAGATCTGAAGTGAGATGATGTGATGCTCCTGAGTTAGTCAACCAGTAATTCTAATTTTGTGAACCAGAGGGGGTAGGAAATTGATTATCGGGTAGATGATCCACTGAAGAAGAGGAAGAGGAATTTGAAAAGGCCCTTATAGCAGAGTTTGGATAAGAGGAAGACTAATACTGGCCATGATTACCTTGAAAAGAAAGATTCATACGATGATAGCAGTTAGAAGCACTGTGACAAAATTTGTTGCAGATCTGACAAGTTATTTGTGGTTTGTTGTGGTTGAAAGTCTGATTCCTGCCTTGAGTAGAAAATTGTTGATGAGAGCCCTAATACTGAAAATTAGATCTTCCTCCATATTGATTTTTGCCTCCTCCTTAATTGCCATATCGACCTTGATTACCACTTCGTCCTTGATTAAAATTGTTCCTTCCTGAATTGTGTTGATTGTTATATGGTTTGTACTGTGTAGTAACCATTGTTGTAGGTGAGAACTGAGTATGTTGTGC